TGTTGCGCAGATCAACGAGTACGAACTGACACGTTTCCAAGCTGTAATTAGGTAATTTTCATGTGATTGGAAGGTATCGAAGGAGTCACCGGCGGTAATCAGTGCAAGTCGCGTCCAGGTCAAACCTCATACTTGTGATTTCCATTTGAAAAGCGCATTGGATTGTGGGAAAATCAATGTTTATCAACACAAATGTCAAACATGCGCAGCGCGACGACTACCGTGCTTTAAACACCATGACGCGTTTTGTTTTGATTGATGAAAGCTGGGCGCCCTGGACCAGATGTCACGGTGATACGGGAAATTATTGCCCTGATTTGAGGGCGCACTTCTCATAGCGTTACGAGGCCGGGGAATATGAGCTAGTATGATAAAGCTGAAATATTTCCCCATTCAATGTTAGCTTATAGTGCTTCTTGTTATGAACACGGGCTGTAATTTTTACATCGCTAATAAATAGTTTACATTAGTAAGCTGCCTTTCAAGGTTGTGCGCACTGGACATGTTTTGTGTGAATTTGACATTGATTGATGCGTGGGTTACCGCCCTCAACTTGAAATCAAAAGCCTGTTAGAAAACAAATTATTGCTGCATAACAAATTACTGGTACATAAATTGTTTAGTTATCGAAGTGCCTAAATCTAAACGACTTGTTTTGGTTATCCAACAACCTAACAGCGACCGGCGAGACCTACACGTTTCTCAGCTCAGTGGATGGGAAAACGTTCAACATTTCGCGACCCAAACACAATATAGGGTATGCGAAAGGTCACCATACTCTTCATATGTGTTTTTATCGACATATGTTTTAGTGCACGTGATAAATAAACAGGTGCTATTGACAGTCATAATGTATTGTCAAATCGGGGGAGTCGTCACTTGCGCAGGCGGCAAACGACCATAACATGTCGCTGCTTACAAACAACAGTAACTATGTGTCTTTCCTTTTATAAGAGCGTTATTATCGTACCTTGGAACTTAGTTCCACGCATGCGCAGGCGACTACCCCTCTGATTTAAATGATTGCAGAGTGAACGGCAATCATCAACTAACGCGCAGTTGTAATGGCAATGACGTAATAATATTAGTTCTACTCTGTTTAGCTTAAAGTAGCAACGAGGTAAAAAAGAAATTTGATTCAGACATTTGCTAAATGTTACTTCGCTTACCTCTAATGTCTATACATTGCGGGTTTGCCGACACATTCATTCAGAAGCTAGAAACATGCGTTTCGATTTTTGTTATCGACGCGGCTTTAGTTTAATCTGTCTGTCAAAACTGTCAGCGTATTGTCGGTAGCATATTGTAGTTATCTAGTCGTACACAGAAGACAAGCCAGGTAAAGGAAAGAAATGGACTCAGTCATAAAACCTACATACGAACGGTCTTGTGCAATTAACAGGTCTTTCACCTGACTTAACATTATATTGTCTTCAATACGTCAATAAGTAGTAAAACACAAAACAATGGCCAAAGTAAGCGTTAGGTAAACCCCGGAGATACTCACCATGATTTGGGGTGGGCGTTACAAACTGGAGCCAAAACGATCATCAGCGTTGAAGGTGCTTTTGCCCAAAAAATGGCATTTTAGCTTAAACATTTTGTCTGAAATTGCTGAAAATCTTAAAATGGTGGTCGAAACCTTAAGTATAGAAATTCCCCTTCCCGCGGGTAACCAATGCGGCATATGAACTAACTTATTTGCCTATATCTAAGCTTCCAGATAATTTATAGGTTGTTATAGTATAGCACGCTTAGTAATGTTTAAAGAATGTCTAAAACGCAGTGCAAGTCTGAATGCTCATAAACTTACGATTGACTTTAATTTAAACGTAATGCCCGCATCGATATTATTTTAATCAGGTACGACATATTGTTAACAAAACCAGGATGAAACTGTGTCACCACCGAAATACTTTTCACACAAAACAGCGGTCAAACGTCCAGTGACTGCAATATCATATATAGTGGATGTAATTATGGTATACGTATGCCAACTATTAATATATTCATGGTTAACGTTCACGGGCTTCAAAATAAATACGTGAAATTATATTATGATTAGTTCAGTTTAAATGGGTGATTTTAAGTATGCTAATATATTAAATACGCGTACTAAGAGAAAAAGTTACATGAATTCGTACGTAACGAGTTGTTGCAAGCAAGAACACGTTTTACAACCCTGCTTGAAACATTTACTGATAGTTTTAAGTAGATACAAATTGTCCACGAAATTTCATGAGCATACACATATACTTGATTGGCCTGCCATATTTTGTGGCGTGCATATGGAAGTGTGTGCTAATTTTTGTTCATTAATTTGATTTACTAGGAAATCCGAACAACTCGCAGACAGGTGTAAAACAGTGCGTTTCTGGAACCATCGTACACGTTATTTCATTTAAAATAGTCTAAATACAGGAAAGGCTGGCAGTTGAAGTGACATACCGCTCTGACCATGGGCTCTTAGACGAAATACCTTTTTCTCTCTCTCTAGTATATTTTACTAGTGAAATCATAGTCACGTGGTGGTGAACGCCCATTGATCAATCATGATTAAAAATATTTGAGATATTTGAGGTATTTTGGTAAATTTTCACATGTAATATTTAATGTTTAAGTATTCAGCACGTTAACCTCACAATCGGGGAATGGCATCAATGATACACATTCACTGTCACAGTCTGTGCCTATTTAACATAAACACAAACAACGTATCTTGCCCTCAACTTTGCCATTATGATGGGTCATAACTTACGTCGATATATGTAAGTGTTTTGCTAGGGATGCAGTATGTGTTTATTTTATGTTGTAAACTGACTATTTATTACACATGAGAACTTACCTCTTGAAATACGGTTGATTTGTACTGTGATCGGTCGTATTTCCATCCATGATTACATTCTATAGTATCATTGGTGTATGTCTTGTTTTCATAGCGTTCACAATTACTGTAAACCAAACCATTGTCGCACTGATAGGAACTGTCCTCCGATGGTATACTGTGGTTCTTTACTAAATCTTGGCAGAACATTACTGTGTTGTTAAGACTGCATTCGTGTTCGTACTTATCCAACTCCGGAACATAGCACCAATGGTCAGTTTCGGCGGCCAAGAACACTTGGGCGAACGCATGGGACGCTGGTAAGATGGCTACAAAGCATAACAGAATGTATGCACGTTTCTGATACAGTCCAAATTCTCCCAAATACTCGAGGATATCGTCAAACTGTAGCATGGTTTTTGTTTAGCAAGACCCGACAGATGAGGCAGCTTTGCGAGTGTGTACAATAATAAGCTACCAATCAAGTATTTGACCCCTTTATGTCTACGGGAGAGTGTGTGTGTGTGTTGTTTATTTATTGCCACAATAAAAAAAATAATGTTCAAACGAACGTGATAGTGGTGGGTAAATCTTGTAACCGGGATTTATGTTGCGTTCCCCACAAGACAACTCGAAACCCACCAATTTTAACATATCTAAATTTTTTACCATCATTTGAAAGGAACACCCCCACGTATAATAGCTTATTCCTCGTCCACGGTCAAATAGTCAATCAACCCCTCGAAAAAAAACACGTTGGAAGCGGGCGTCGCCCCTAGAAATCAGGCTGATAATCTTTGCCCCTCAAAATGCAGAAAATAGCGCTTCAGAAGATCAAAATTGTTAAAGGAGAGCATGCCCCGGACCCCTAAGTAGAAATGGTGAGCAGACCCCCTCCCTTCAGAATTTCGTGCCGCCGCATCTGAGAGTATACAACGTCGGCATTGTATACGGGAAGGGTAAACACCCACTTCAAGCCTAGTCTAGTACGCGCCAGTGTCCGTAAGTGGTCTTTTAAATTTTAAAATGAAAACTTAATACAGTCGATGACGACACACTATTATTACTAACACGATCTTCATGCTGGCATCTTTTTAGCTGTCAATTTGTGCAAACAGAACTTCTTCAAGAAGAGAAAAAAACATCACGCTGTGTGGGTTGTTTGTGGTATGTTAACTGTTGTTATGAAAACACGTTCGGCAATAAAATTAATATTTGCTTTGTCATTAACAGCGTGATTGTGATGAATTATGTTTGGTGGTATTATAGTCCAAACTATGTCCAACGGACGTGCAATGATCGCTTACAGTCAGCGTAGGTTTATAGCGTGGTTGTAACATGGATACATACAGGCGTTGTCGGCCGCTCGACATATGCGTGGTATTAATAGAGTAATTTAATTATTGCATATATATAACTAACCAGACCGGGTTTGCTACTTAACATATGGGAATATTGTCGTAGTAAATAAAGTGTGGTATATATATAAATTTAACTCACCAGGCCGTTAATGTCACACGTCTTTCATATTTTACTGAGAAATGTCAATATTTATTCCGATAGTACTCGCGTTTGTTTTTGTTTTTGTGTTTGTTTTTTTATTTCAGTACATGTCCTTTGACCGAATGCAGACTTCTTAATGGTGCGCTCGTTGCTCATAAGTTATAAAGTAATAAAACCGACTTGACTTCCATATTGATCAATCATTCCTGTGTCCAAAGGTTACTAAACATATTTATGACACTCCAGCTGTCTGTTATAAAAAAACTTACCAATAACCTTAACACTGTTATTTATCGTGATAATAAAACTCACAAGTTCCTTCTGAGTGGGAATTGGCGAGACATACGCTGACAGTACATTTAACATTTGCAGTCACTCTTACGGTCGACTGATCACTTGTTCAGACCATTGATTGACATTCGTACGGATAACAGGTGTTAGTGATTCTTAGCCAGTAATGATCAACTTTTTGAACAGACCAAGCTATCTGCAGTATTATTCAATCAGCAACTAAATCGCGACTAAGCTTTTATAATAACATTGCCGAGTGAGTTTATGTGCTGTTTACTTAGTCCATCTTGTGTAATAGCCATGCCTTTCATATGTTTACATAGTCGTTCGTGGATGTAATGTTTTAAGGAGCGAGCTGGAGAACGTTACGACGGTTATTAAACAGATGAAAATCATCTACGCATGCGCACACACAGTTAAATGTAATTGGGCGGTTTCGTCTTTCTATCTCGCGTCAAAGTTTATATCTCACTAGTGTCCTCGTACTCGTTCCATATCCTGTACATAATATCTGTTATTGTTTTATATTTATATAGAGGCTCCCACAGTTCACGTAAGTGCATCACCGTCGATCCCAGGTTACGCATGCGTACGAGCATCAATATTTAAAAGTACAAAATACCATCCAGAAGTGATAACAACACATACACTACTATTAATAGTGAGTGCGGTTACTATCTCTACACATACGTTAGTCTAATGTGTATTGCCGTCCTACACTGATATATCGTCCAATACGAAACGTGTTGATGGTGCTGGTTCATTTACAGTTCATCCATATAAGCAATGATACTGAGTTATTTGGGTCATGACTATAGTTCTATAGTTACTAGTTCATGTCGGCGATGACACTTCCGATGGAATGACATGAATATTTAAAAACAACTGGCATGCCTTCACCTCATGCTGAACTCAGTTGGCGATGTAGGTAGCCGAGGAGTGATTTACTGCAGAGGACGTGACAAAGTCGGTATTCATTAAATTAATTATACAGAACTTAAATATATATATATAATATATATATATATATATATATATATATATATATATATATATATATATATATATATATATATATATTTATATATATATATATATATGCAATATTGGTCGATTCCAAGATTGGAATAACATTTTGGAGAATATTCATTATATCGAACGTGTCTTCGTCATTTATCAAACAGGCTATGGTCTATTACATGCAAACGTGATTTCAACTAATTTCAGTTTGACCAGCGCAAACACGCCGAGCGTTATTGTTGAAGAGATCAAAGTTGGCTTACAAGCACTATATATCACGTGACACGCAAACTTTGTGTGACCTTTACACTAATTCAATATGAATGCAGGTCATACATACTAACCAATGTAATGACATATTTGTCATTATTAGAAACACGAATGAATTTTTATAATGCAGGAGTGAAATTCTTTTTTGTTTACTCACAATCAGTTTATTGTGATGACATTAGCTCAGGCTATCTTAGATGACAAAATGTTTATTACGAAAATTACGCCAGCATAATCAATAAAATGTATTTACTCGAGTGACCTAATAATAGCGAATGATATACATATACAGTTCATAGTCGCGAGGTAGTATTAGTATGTACATGGAAAGTAATATCATGCGTATGAACTCACTACGAAGTCCATGTGTTTAATGAATCTGATAAACGATGAGTTGCAATCAACGACACATAATAGTTGTAGAGAGTATGGTAATGCACGAATATTTATTGAGAAAATTAATCCGTGAAATACATAACATTAAAGCAAACTCACTCGAATTGCACTAAATCTACTATGGAATTGGTGATTTTACCAAGCAACGCGGACTATTTCACTAATATTTTTTGTCATTATCAACATACGATATATTTCTATAATTCATTAAAACTTAACTTGAGAGAAATTACAGATATAAATTACAATGAGTATGGACTGGATCAACTTTCCCAACACTACCAGTAGTATTATGCTTTTGATTTATTTGAGAAACATGATTTCATGTTTCAGCGGAATACTGAAACAATTGTGTTTAGCCATATGTGTTTTTCGATTGTTTACACTGTTTTCTATATTTAGATAATAGTTGCAAGGGACCGTAATTTGTCATCTGTTCTTGTGTTTCAACTTATCATATGAAGTATTTTATTAATTACATTTCTTCTCGTACAGCATACGGCATAAGATGTGTACACACAGCTTAGTCTGGAAAACATCGTCATGACAATTATAATATATTGATAATGAATAAAGCTTGATCAAGAAGACCAAGGCCTGTTCGTTAAATGATAGTTTTCAAAACTAAAGGTAAAATACGAGTTGGCATGATAATTGACAACGTGGATAATTATGGAATTACATCGTTTGCTTTACAAAAATACTCACTATAATTCTTACGGTAAGGTGATGTTAAAGGGCGGTAGTCCGAGTCGTCGCGTCACGCATGCGCGAGATATATGGGTCTCATATAAACAAAGATGGCGACTTTGACTGTTACGCAGATCAACGAGTACAAGCTGAGACGTCACCAAGCCTTGAGGGATATTTTTAGGTAATTGGAAGGTATCGAAGGAGACACAGGCGGTAATTAGTGCAAGTCGCGCCCAGGTCAAACCTCATATTTGTGATTTCCATTAGCAAGGCGCATTGTATTGTGGGAAAGTCAATGTTTATCAACACAAATTTTGCGCAGCGCGACGACCACCGCCCTTGAATGTAAAAAACACATAATTCACACAATTTAGATCAAAACTCATTATGACTGATTAGTTTCATCTTGAATTCATTTAAATATGTAGACAGTGGAATCGAACATATCGAACCACCAATTTTACAACATGCTGTATATTTAAATTATCAAATGGCACACATAACACGTAATTGCACTATTGGAATTATTGGCTGGTTTTCATTTTCCTCTCATTCACGGTATCATCACTTTTCAAATTGCTATCGATTGTATTCATCATTACACCACACGTGGTGTCTGCGGTGCTGTCTGTATTCAGTCTACCGAACGATTGTTTGTTCCTGTGACAGATAAGGT